GGGCTGCCCGCGGCCGATTGCCCCCGGGCCCGGGCGGTGGAGGAAGGGGCAGCGGCCCCGGGCGCTCTCTGCCCCCGGAATGCGGGGAATGCGGGGCGGCTCCGCCCGGCCCAGCCCCACCGCCGGAGCTGCCCGAAACCCGCTGGGCGTGCGGGGGGAGCTGGGCGGTAACACGGGGCTCGGTGGTCTCCCGTGCCTGTGAGCTCGGGTCGCTTCCCGACTGCTTGTCCTGGTCTAACGAAACACACCTTGGATAGCGTCATGTATAGCGTCACCTTCCTTCCACCGTCCCTTCCTTGTGAAATCTGTCTGATGTACAAAACTCCGCTTAGCAGCAGGAGGGGAAGGTATTTTTGTCCTGATGTCAGACTCATGAGATCTGGTCTCGTGTTTGAAAGTGAGGTTCAGTTTCCTTCATTTTCTAGACTCTCATTCTGTAGAGTTACAACAGCAAAATGAAAGTTAACAGCTTGGGAGAAGCCTAGCTCATCTAGAAGTCAAAACATCACCATATGTTAGTACTGCAACACATGCAATGTAGACAAATTTCATATTGCTGTGAGTTTAAATCCTAATCTACAGCATACATGGACCAACCCAGTGCTCCAACTGTTCCTGAAAATGGCTGGTTTCCAGTCTTTGTTACTTTATTTGCAGAACACCGTGACAGATCTCAGCTAGGAGTGGAAAAAAAATGTCAACTTGGCAGGTTGTTTGAGGAGCTTAGATAATGTTTGTGTAAATCTTTGAGGGTAAGTGGTAACAGCATAACAATCGCAATGTATGAACCAGTATGGTAAGCATAACCTATTGATGTAAGATTCTGTAACAGATAATAGTGTAAATTATCTAAATATATACATGCTTAGGATTTCACTATGTATCCTTCTCTGTGCATCTGCAGGCTCTGGTGTCAGCTTTGTGCCAGGTCAAAGCTTCTTCCTCTTTTACTAAAATAGTCCTACAAGGAAAATCTATTAGCATCACAAGATAGTACTTTGCCAGTTTAATGTTATTTTGTAAGTACCAGTTGGAGTGCTACTTGCTGGCAATCACACTTATATCATCCTCAGGTTCTCCTAGACTGTGATTCCACCTCACACACGGAGGTTAGACTGGAAATAGGTTAGACTATGGTACTTCAAACCCCATAGAGAACTCCAAGATCTACTCAGAAAATCTTGAAAGTAGGCTGACTTGAATAAAACAGGCTCTAAAATGCTTATAATTATCTATCTTAAAAAAGGGGGGGAGTGATTTATCTTCATCAAATTTATATTGAACTTTAATCAACAAAATAATAGGAGTGAATAGAAATTTACTTGTCCTCTTACTACTTACACTAATTCTAACAAACTAGAAATTCTAAAATTCTAACACTGAGGGATTTGTGCACCTTTTGTCACACTTGTTCTATAAAAATTAGTCTTTCTCATTAACCAGGTTAATTTTTATTGCCAGCAATTCTTAAACAATGGTCTGTAATTTTTTTTTCAGGTATACTTGATAGCTGACATTCCCCTGCATCAGTGAATAATAAAAAAAATACTGTAAATATTACCCCATTATTACTTTTCCACTGCAACAGAAGGAATGCCTACAAAATTAAAAGTGGGAGAATATGATGTAGACAATTGCTGGGGATGCAGACACTCCTCCACGCAACTCCTCTGTAGGAACAGTGGCCTGTAGTATAAAAGTTGTCATTGTGTTGCTTTTGGCAGATGAAGGTTCACCAGTGCAGCAACCAGACAGACAGGATACTAAGGGCTAGGAGGAAATGTCTTCAAAAGGTAGAGTATATACTTCATATGCAAGTCTGCTCCTACTCCTATTTCTGCTTCCATTGAAAACATCACTTGTCTCAACTCTTCAATTTTTTTTATAGAAATGCAGAAAGAAAAAAAAAAATTAACTAATATTTGCCAAGTATAGTACTTAAAATACTACCTGCAGCATGGAAAGTTATTTAACACTTCTCCTACAGAAAAACCCTTCTGGGAACCACTCTCTTAGCAGTCAAGAGACAAAACAGCCTTTATAAAATTTTCTGATTCCAATTTAAAACCAGAAATCTGTTTACTGGGAGCAGAAAAATGGTCACTTATAATGTAGATTTTTTCTCCCCTATTGCCTATGCATTTCCATACCAAATGACTAGTCCAGTATTGTAGAAATTATGGTGCTTGGCCCAAGGGGCCAGTGATATCTTCAATCCAGTTGCCTTTCTTGGATAACTGAGGCTGCATGAAAGCAGTCAGGATTTGGGGAATGCCTAAGAAGATAAGGGAAGAGAATTTGGTTATGGAAGCAGATAAAGCCAGAGGTACTAAACCCAAATTATTTGATTCCAAATCCGTTTCCTTTGTGAAAGGTGGTCTAATTTTGTCGACCTCTTCCTAAAAGACAGGGTTTGTGCTTATTTGTTGGTGTAAGTATTAAAACACGTTATACAAGTATCTTTTATTCTCCTCTTGGTTCTTAAAAAAACTCAATTCTATTTAACTTTACAAATTGAAACCACTCTAGCTTAACACACACTTATTCAACTTATAATACATAAAAAAAAAAGAAGAATTAGTGCTTTATGATTGCATAATATGCTTAGATGATTATTGGTTATGGTATGATAAGTCTTTGAGATGTGCAGAAGTTGTATTTACCTAGAAATTTGATTGAAATGCATGAACTGTCATTTAGTGTTTTGTTGAAACACTTGGAATTTATAGGTACATACAGAAAAATGACCAAAACATGGTGTGTGTAGTTAACCTAGGTTTATTGGGAAAAGGAGTTTTAACTGCTGTTAATAAATTGCCAGGCCTCTTATTTGATCGCTATTATTCTTAGGACAAGCAGAGATTCCCACAAATACAAGTGGCAGACTAATGAAATTTTCAGCACTCCTGCTGAAATTCTGAATCCTACTTGTATTTTCTAAGTATCTTCTGGTGAGATTTTCAAATGTAGATATTCTTAAAATTTTAAAAACTAATATCTCTGAATCTCTCCTACTTCTTTTCTGTGCATAGACAAAAGGAGGAAAATGAGCTTTCCTACTTTCTGAGATCCAAGTGTTCTCCAGTTTTGCATTCACTTGTTAAGATGCTTTTTCCAGAGCATAGGAAAATGTTTTCACACTTTGGAGGTGTCCCAGGAAAATAATTTTGAATTAATGTAACACTTTTTTTTCTTTTCATGTGGTACTATTTTAAATAACAGATACTGCTATTTATAGCCAGCAGCAGTGTCAGAGGTCAAACATTTAGGGTGGGATCTATTTTATCCAACTTTACTAATGTAGGAGTTAGGTGTGTCATTTCAATCAGTCATTGAGGCTGCTTCTACAGATAAATTGGGGAGGGGAGGGAGGCAGTTCTGCAGGTAATTTATTCGAGATACTCATCCTGCTATCTAAATCTCTTGGTCTTTGAAGGTGCCTATCTCTGTATTGATTTAGGATGGAGTCTGGATGACTAGCTCTGATTGGGGAGCAGACTTTTGGATGGCTACAGTTCAGATGGGTTCCCTCACAGCTGGCAGAATAAAATCTCAAAGTGAGTATGGGTAGGAACACTGGTGTTTTTTGCATGTATTTAAAGAAAATTACATCTCTTTGCCAAAAGAATAAGTAGATTACTTTAAACAGAATACAACTCTCCTTTAAAAATTGTATTTTGCATTTGCTGTAATGCAGGAAGAACTGGCTCTCACTAGGTAAGCAATAGAAGAAGCTGAATGACAGAAGTACTTCTAACTTGTCAGGCAGTTCATGGAGTGGCTACAGTGCAGTGCTGTGCAACAGATGATACAAACAAAAAGACTGAATGTTTCATGGGGAGTTTCAAAGTAGGAGCCTAAATTCATTAGTGAAATACAGTGTAAAGTAAGAGTGCATATGTAAAGGAAAGGTGTATTAATTTGTTACTGTGGCCTTAAGTAGCCTTTCACTCTAGAATCACGCTGACTTCCTAAGGCTGCAGCAATGAAGTGTTCGTACTGAACAGTAGTCATATGCTGCCATGCTTGAATTCACATACAGCCAAGGCATTTCAAACCCCACCAAACCTGTTCAGAGATAAATAAATTACAAATAATAACCTAAAGGAAACACTTTGATGTCTGTTTGGTATACAGTATTTAAGACACGTGAACAGGAGAAAGATACTTTTTCATCATTGCCTTGTAATATTCTAAAATAATGTATGCTGGACTAGGTGACTCATGATCTGAAGTTAGCCCAGCACTTGGTGCATCATTCTGAGAAGTGTAACAATTAAAGCAGGAGTGAAGCATTGTGTGTGTGTAGCTGTGTGCACTTCCTGGGATTTGGGTGTCTGGTATGTCATGTGTTCCAGCCCTGCATTTGGTGGATTAGAGGCAATTTCTTTAAACAATAACAGAAATTTTATACTTAATCCAATACACATGATGCAAAAGCACGTACTTAGTGGAAAATGCTGTTGTCTCATTGGGATTGTGTTACTATCCACTCTCATAAAATTATTGCGCTAAAAGGTATTGGTTTGTATTGTAGCTACAGAAGATACAGTCCTGGAAGATGACATGCCATCATCTTTATAGATGGAAAATCTTGTTCTTCTCCCTTGTAATTTATAACAATGAAGCCATTAACCATAAGCAAAGAAGTGGAGAAAACAAAAACTTTAATGTCCTGAGAGATGTTCTCTCTGCTTGTACTTTTAGGCTTTATAGCCATTTGGGCTCTCAGGATGTTTCTTTATAAAAATCCTTTTTCTTGAAATTTTCAATATGGCCATGATGAGTGCAGGTATCTGAGATGAGCCAGATGATGGGTTATTAGTTGAAACATTAATTAGGGACAGCCAATCCTTCACCCTTTACTCCTCTTTTATTTATGTGCTGCTGTGTTTTGGGTGTACCACTTGGTTAATGTGAGGGGAAAATGACAGGCCATATTTTGAGTCCAGCTTTTTATTTGTTACTGTAAGACTAAAATTGTTCTTACGTATCTCTTCCATGACTTAGTTAAGTACTTAAGTGTTTTTTAGTTTCTCTATGAAGGGATTTCAAATACTTTCTCATTCAGCTAAAAGGCTAATGCAGAATTCTGTGATACATGATTAGTTTTTGCCTCATGCTGCAAAAACTTTGGGTTGTTAGTTTTCAACTTTTCTATTAACCACACTGTTCCTTTACTTTAGATGGCAAACTAGTTATTCAGTATAATTGAAACCAACCTCCCTTCTTATGTTTACTGCTGTAAAAATGCAGGTTTGTTTTCATATTAGATTTATATTACTGCAATACTCAAACCCAGTAATTCCTAATTTGAAATGTCCATCTCCTACTAGAATTTGCCCTTTCCTTAGTTACCTTTCTTGAGGTAAATAGGTCTAGTAAGAACAAACATGAAGAGGATATCATGTAATGAAGCTCCTGCTTCCTGCTGTTGAATCTGGTAATGGGTGAAGGATTGCAGCTTAGAAGGGGAGATTGGGAAAGTCCTCTGCTCACTTCTGAAGTCTGGGATATATTTAAAGGTATTTTCTAGCAATTACTGACAAAGTGATATGCAAAGGAGGCTAAGAGAGGAAAACATGCCTCTGAGCAGAAGAATGCTCATGTACATTAGGAGAGAAGTATAAACCAAATTAAATGTGTATTTAAAAAAAAACACCCTTATCTATTTATACTTAGTATTTAGACAACTACATTATTAAGACTACACTACTGGAAATAACATTCTTTGCCTTTTTTTTTTGTGTATGTACTTATCACAGATTTTACAGATTAGAATACACAAGGTAAGTCTCGTCCAAAAATGCACTACAGAGTATTAAATCTGTCGAGTATAACACCATTGCAGATGTGAAAAAGGTTCTGATTTAACATACATCTCTATGAAAAACATTTCTGCACTCTCACATATATATCTATATAGATAGAGATACATATATAGATACAGATATGTGTGTGTGTATATATACATATACATACATACATATATATATATATATATATATAAACACCACCTTAAATTACCACCTTTTGGGCTTTTTGATTACCGAAATTTGTCAGAGCATGGCTGTCTTCTATACAGGTATATACAATTTATTCTGAATCCAAGTTTTTCAGTCACAACACTATTTTAGTAGTGAATTTTAATAGAAGAGCATCTGCACTCGGGTAATCTGACCAGCAGATGTAATCTAACATTTGCAATGATGATTTCTGCATGTTATGAAAATAATGGGTTTGTGCCTTATTGATGCTTAAGGTTCATTCCTTCTGTTTCTGTAAATATTCCTTTTCCACATAAACCAACACAGTCCAGGGAACATTAATGAGACAAGTTGATTCTATCTCCAAGTGCCCTATTCTGTAATCTCCCAGAAATACATTTCTGAATAATAATTTTTTTTTTACTACTGTGATCCTACAACAAGGTTTACTACAATTCTTAGCTGCATAAACAGAAGAATGTCAACAGTAGAAGCAGATGAATTGTGTAGGGCATTGATGGAACCTTATTGAAAATGATTCAGCGAAAAGCTCTAGAAATAGTGACAGCAGAAAATGTATCACTGGTATGTGTTTAGAATCTATTTTAGGTTGACTTATTCCAAGCAGATAGCATAATATGCAGCTGAACCTGAGAATATTTAGAAGGCTGGAAAGGAGTGTGTTCACAGAGGAGTACACCCAGTAATAACCTACTTGCTGGGGGATGATTAGATGCTACTTTAAAGGTTTGTCTACTGCTTATGTCTCAAATTCAAAACCAGTATTTCTATTCTGTAAATGGACAAGCTACAGCCCAAGGTACTGGAATCTTTTTTCTATTTCTTCCATTTCCTATGGGAAACATTTTTTTTCTTGCCTTCTGCCTTTCTTCCTTCTAGAAAGGTCTGAGTACATGTTTAACATATTAGTCTTAATTTAAAAAGAGGTGTGATAGCTAGCATTGATAAGAATACGTAATTTGAAAGCAAAGTAATAATATTTTTTGCAAGATTCCTTTTCTAATGTCATTACTCCAAAAGAATTACATAAATCAAAGTATGCTGAACAGTATTATGTCTTGGTGTTTACTTAAACCAAGAGTCACGTCCTTTGTTAAAATTAGTATGACTTAAATTCTTAGCTTACTGGAAGAAATGCAGAATTTAAATTTTAGCTAATTATTTTAAAGAAGTGTTGAGAGATCCTAACTGAGACCAGAAGAATTTTCTTTTCAAGCTGTATGTGATGTGTGGAATACAAAATCAGGAGTATAAGGAAAGAATTGTTGTGTCAGGTTTAAGGGAATTTAAACAAAGCTATTTTTCTGTACAACTGCACTACATTAAAAGGTATATCTGAAGCATCATGAGTAAGGAGTCAGTAACAGTACTGGAAAAAGCATAGCTTGAGACATAGATATGTATGTACAAAATAAGCAATAGAGTTAATTAAAAAAGTGGAAATGCTTTTTGGTTAGACCTCCCCCAAAAGGGTATCTCTTCCTGTATTTTTGGTCCTCTATCAAATGCCTGTTCACATTCTAATCCACTTTATTAATCCCTCTTTTTTCCTCCCATAATTCTCTGCTTCTTTTCAGTTAAGTTGTTGCCATTTTGCTTGTTTATGTAGCATTCCATACAAAATACCACAAACAGTTTCTACTTCATACCTAAGGAATTTCCCCTTAATTGCAGCAATTCTTAATATTATCAAAAGCATGCTAAACACAACAGGTTAAAACAAGAAATGAAAACTACAACTAATACTGCAGAAAAAAAATCTGTGTAGGCAGCAGTCACCACAGATGGGATTCATTCAGTATATAGCTCTTAGTTCTACCACCCACATAATCCCCATTATCATTTCCTACCAAACACACTTCATTAGCTATGAAGTGAAGAAATCTCTATTGTCTCTCCCAGCAGATCACTGAAGATACTGTCATGATATGGATATAAAGGTCATATCAATTAAAAACCATTCCTTTATGATCCTTTAGAAGGTCATAATAATTAAGCATATTTTCATTTGATGACAACCAGTAATATAATTTGATGAACCACTACCAATTTTATCCTTTATAAGTAAAAGTATTCTTCCTGCTAGTGCTGAGCATTAATATATCATCATCCAGTGGTTCTCCCTGTCCCCTCTTTGTTTGTTCATTTGTCCCAATTAATTAAGTGGTAGTATAAACTTGAGAAAGCGATATGCTATCCCAGAGGAAGGAAGCATGGCTCTGCCTTTGCTGAAGCACAAGCTGTCATTCCTGATTTCTATACAGGGTGGAGTTCTGCATTCTTTTTATTGCTCTGACTGTTGACACCAATGACAGTTCTTCCAGGAGAGACAGTGCTTTGATCATGTGCATAGCTATGGATGAGGAGAGAACTTGCACTGCCTTGTTATGAGGAACACAGTGACTTAGGGAACTTAGCTGAGTAAATGGGGGGTAGAAATTCTGATTCTTCTGCCTTTTTCTGCAGCCCCCCCGTCCTGTTGTGCTATAATCTAGTTAAAAAGCAACTTTGCTGTAAATGGAATCAGATGGGTCCAAATTAAAATGGAAAAGAACTCAAACAAATGCTTGTTTTGTTATTTTAGATGGGGAAAAACCCCATAAAATTATACAAAATCACCTGATCTGATTCACAAATAGCTGTATCAGCACAACTATGAGGAGCAAGGCGCTGCAGTGTAAGGGTACAAACTCCACTAGCTGTGCAGCTGCCAGAGTACTCATACTGCTAAACCACAATCAAAGAAAGAATTTAATTAAAATCCATTCTTGTGGTGGTCAGTTCATTTTGAGTTGGGAGAGTACTGTTTCCAAGTACTTTGCCTGCAGCAGTGGAGTAGACGACACAAAACTGTCTTATTTATGAGTTTTTAATAAACTACTAAATCAGCCATGTGGCTTTATATTCTTAAAAATATTAGCTGCTAAACGTTAGTTGCTAAAGGTCATGGAATTATAGTTTGAAGAGTTTGCTGTTCAAGCACTATCGTGTCACTTCTTGTTCCTCCATTTAATGAATTGTTAACTAACATATTTAATGCCTCGGGGAATCTCCATCTCACTATTCTTTCCTTCCTGGTAACTTCACAGATTTCTGTGAATGAAACAATAGAAGTTTCACACATTGATTTCCTCTGTTTCAGTTTAGCCAGCTGGTGGTGATGTCACACCTGTGTCTAACAAGCACCTGATAATGTTCCTTCCTTGGGGACTGAAAGTATAAAACACATGTACATACCAGCTCTGTATCGGTATTTGTACTACAAACACTGGATTGCTATCATGATTCAGATAAACAGGAGACTTGTTCAGCTGTTTTAGTTACTTTGGATCATTTCCTGCAGCTTTACTCATCCTCCCAATTAACATGAATACATATTTGGGTTTTTTCCAAGTTAGCCATTAAGGAGGTTAAGTAGGTTGGGCCTTGTGACTAATGTTTCCTTGGCTCTGACTGTATTTTGCTGCTCCCCTAGAGTATTCTATCATAGTTTATTAGCATCCAGGAGAAACTCTGAGATTCCTAATTGTAGGACAGCACTTGAAGTATTCTAGAAATCCCCAAGCTCCAAAATGAAAAATCCCAGTCGTAAGTAAGACTCAGCATGGAGGGGCAAATACAGAAGTACTTCTACTGTAAAAAGACATCTTGCATTAGCATTGTCATTATTAATAGTTTCCTATTGCTGAGCTTTCATGTTCTGTATTAAAAAAAAAAAAGTGCCTCAACAAAACTTAGTCAAGAGGATGCTGCAGTAATTGGATGAGGTTCTTCAACCCCTCAAGATGTTTGTTGTTCCACTAACATGGTAAAGGTAGTAAACAGGTTTTGTCACTTCTGATGTCTCATCACAAGCAACAAATTAAGAATGCAGTTGCTTAACTATTTTACTACATAAAGTTTAAATGTAATCCTGCTTTAGAAATGTCAGCAATATAAAGAGGCAGTCGCTAAAGGAAAGCAACATGATCCATCAATGTGCAGTAAGCATATCCCTCACCAGTGTTTAGTTGTGAATCATGATATTACATCCTAATCTTACATTGTCATTTGCATAGCAAATGGGTTTGTTCAGCAGCTGAATACTGTCTGTTTACAAACTTTCCTGGAACAAGAAAATAATTTTAAGTTAGCTTTAGAACTAACCTTAGCTAAATTACTACAAAAGAAGAAAGGCACATATTCTAAAATAAGAGTATTCACTTCAAGGGTGGGTATTCCTTGAAATGTTTGTCTACCTAGGGCTATGTTCCAAGTGCTAGTGCTGCAATGAAAATTGATTACTTTTTCCACACCTCATTGTAAATATGAAATGGCTCTTACAATGACTTAGTTTGCTTTCCTCTGTTGTGTTTTACATTACTTCAGCATAGAGAAGCAGGAAGTATAGAGATAATACCTACAGGTATTACATGTTATGGGTGTGTCAATTTCTGCTTTCGAGTCAAGCCACTGACTGAATTTCCTCCTTCTGTACACTACTCAAGTAAAAAACCAAAACAAATCTTCTATATAAACTAAACACCAGTCTTCCCTATCTTTTGCAGGTATTTGTGATAAGGATACCAAAGGAGGGAATATTCTGTAGCCTTCATAGAAATTCCTGACAGAGAAGCACCAGTGGAAGAACCAGTTGCATATGGCATTGTTTCAGTAGAAATTACCATTTCTATAACCCAGACACTGCTGCCCACATGTACTTTCTTTCCCTACTAGAAAATTAAGCAAGTCAGAGAGAAAGAAGTTAAGACTTGAAGCAGGTTAACTTTACCTAGAAGTGCAGTTAAGTGTGCTCCAAGAGCAGGTCAGCAGAAACTCTTCTTGCCTTCCAAACCAGGAGATCAGAAGAGCATGTTGACATACCTCAGTGCCAATGACCTGGCTAAGGTGAAACAAATCCTGAAGTGATTAATGTTTTTTTCCTGGTCTGTTTGCCTGAGCTCTGTAATTGAAAATTGCTAAAGCAGGTCATTTGAAGTATGTGTGGTATCTTAGGAACTATAACTTAGTGATCATATATTTGCATTACAAATGCTCTTATTGCTCTTATTGCTCCTTACTTGGCATAAATTTTCAATCTGAACTGCTTATTAAGTATACCACAACTCACCCACCCTGTAATTACCACTAGCCTAATATCTGTTCACTTAAGTGAACATTTTCTTCTAGCTTTTATTCTCCATTCCCTTCTTTTGGATGATTTTTATTTTATGTAAAAAATCTAGTAGTGAGTTCTTCCAATTTCTCATTCATTTTTCTGTGGTAAGGAAACAGAAAAACCTATATAGAAATTATTAAAGAAATCAGGAAAATCAGATCAAGCAAAGGTGAAATAAAGAAAACTGTGGAAGGTGGAATATATATCAAAAATACATGAACAGATGTCACCTTTTCAAATTCAGTGATACTAAACCTGCCTTCCTTAAAAAAAGCTCTCAGAGAAATAAGACTGACGATTTTACTCAATAGCTACAAGTATTAAGCATAAGTATAAATTTAGAAGAAATTAAAGGCAACAGTGTTTGGAATGTTTACCATTAGCAGGTGAGGTTATCAAGTTCCTGAGTGCTTGAATACAAAACATTTAAGCTATGGCCATATACTGCAGTCAGGAGATTGAAAAGCAAAACTTTAATCAAGCTGAAAGATTTAAGATGTTTCAGCGAAGTAGTTAAAAAGATGTACGTAAGCATTAAGTCATTAAAATGACTTAAGCCTCTTAATCTTCTCAAAGGCAGATTAGGCTAAATTTAAACAAAACATGACATGAAGTCTAGTTTTGGTTTTACACATATGTATCCTTAGTACAGAATTCAATATGTGCAGTTCTGGACACTGATTTTCATAAGATAGTATATCTACAGTCTCCAAAATACACTTGCTATGGAGTTCTAATAGCTATCTACAAAAACCATTAATAACCCATCCTAATAATACAAATATTACTTCTACACTTTCAGGAAAAAGGAAAACTCTTGGAAGCCAGTTAAATGTTTGTGCTCATACCAACTGCTGCCAGTGCCTGATGTCACTATTCCCTTTAAATTCTGAGGTTTTCAAAAGCTCCAATGGCAAATGAAAGCCCATGTCATAACAATTTTCCTATACAATATAGGCATGTTATTACTTATTCCTTTGCAAAACTTGGGACTAAAGGAAAGCCTTTCAGAATAACTCCTTAACTCTACTGAATATGAAGAACAAAAAATAGTTGTGAATTATGCACTTTTAAAAAAAATCTGTAAATGTTTTGCATGGTGTTTTCATAACTGTATCTTCTGCTTTTATAAACCTTGCAGAACTAAGAACTCTTTAAAAATGTAAGGTTTAAAATATAATTTTTGGTACCCTTGATTACTGCACCACAAGATAAAAAGCTGGGGATTAAGACCTCATACTTGGCATCCTGTACTTTAAAAATGTAATTTTTAAAGTAAATAGCCAAAAAAGCTATTATTACGGGGGGGGAGGGAAGGAATCTAATTCTATTAATAAGTTTAAAGATTTGGTCCCTTTTAAAGTACTGTAGAAAAAGTTTAACATGGAACTTAGAACTGTAGAAGCTTATTTTAAAATTAGATTAGCACTGCACTCGCATATATTGTCCAACATCTTTAATTACTTCTTTCTCAATGGATTTATTCTTTTTCCAATTACAGCAGATGGACCAGGTAGGGTTCTAGCATTCATGTCCCTATGGTTGTAACTTTCTTCATTTGCAGTAGAGATGATGAACCACCAAATTCATATTCCAAGAAGAGAAGAGATCTTTAATGATGGCCAGAACCAGAGGACTCTGAAACAAAGACATGATTTAGGCTGTTCAAACAGTAAAGGAAATCAATTCAGGAATGTAGTGCAGGTCCTAGAACTGACATCTGTACTTATATCTGAGCACGAGAATTGGCTATTTAAATGAAACAATACCCTCAGAACGTGTACTAAGTAAACACAGCAATTATTAAAAATTCTCTTTTGCAAGTTTTAAAGCCCTATTACAGTCAAACACCCATCCTTCCTTGGTTTTGTTATGGTTCTTCCAGAACTCAATTTTATTCTATTATTCTATTAGGCAGTATTTTCTCTAATTGCATGTTGCAAAATATAAATAATGTTTGCACGTACAAATTCAACTGGGAGTGAATGGTTTCTCTCTCATGGTCCAGAAAGTGAAGAGCAGAGATTCAGCAGGCCATAAAAATATAATTTCCAGTGTGATGTCAGAAGAAACTGTCCATAAATATCTAAACACTACTTTATACATATACAAATTCAAAACACAAAGTTTATACTTTCTAATTTCTTGACAGCTAAAATAGCAGGTACTCTTGAAATCATGCTGGTTTAAATAATCCCATTAAATGGCTGGTGCTATTATTTGAAAAAATTCCTCGCCCACACAGTCAAGTTACAGAGTTTCCATTTTTCTCCTAAAACCTACACAAAAGATTATTTATGTGCAGATCCACAGATGTTTCTAGGTTATGAAATTATCTATACAATCAAAATTACTTATTTTAAAGCAGTCTTTAAACATTAGCTAAATCTGTAACATAAGCCCCAAATTTATCTAATGTACAATATTCTGAACTGATTTTTACTGCACTTATTTAAAAATTACATCAAGGTATTAAATATTGAATACTTACTATTTCCTGATGATTTTTTGCCTGGGGAAAAAAAAAATAAGCTGAACAATGACAGTTAAAAATATATTTCCTATTTACTTTTTACAGATAAATTTTAATTAGCTTATTATTAGCTTAAACAAAAATTGCAAGTGTACAACAGGTACTTTCCATGGTATGTTTTTGTAAACTTTACACTGATTTTCAAAAGTTGTTTGGTTTTAATTAACTAAGGCTCCATGCATTTAGAAATTATAGTCATCAAGATTGCTACTATAATTCTAAAGAAATCTTTACGGAATATTACTATTTTACGTAATATATGGATATATATATACACACACACACAAGATATGGATGTCAAAACAGTTGTTTGCTTTAAAATTTTCCTTTGTATTTTACATTCCCATTGTAATTGTTCTCCTAAAATACTGGGTCACAGTGATAAAAAAAATTCTTTGCAAGAAAGACAGTTTTAAGAGATTGTACAATCTCCATCCTTGGAAATGCTCAGATTATGAATAAGGTTATAAGCAACCTGAGCTAACTGTGATCTAAAGCATCAAGCACAGGTTTGGACCAGGTGAGCTCAAGAGGTCCCTTCCAATCTGAATTATCCTACAACATACTCTTCAATTCCATGTATTTACAAAATTATTCCCCAAACTGCAGAAAGGCCTACAGCTATTAAAAACTATTTTCCCTTTCAAATAAAGCTTAGCATACAGTTGCCATTTATCCAGGTTTTTTGGCCCTCAAAACTCTACACCAGGTAATCTAAGTCACGAATTAATGTAGCATGATATGAATACAAGTTTGAAACAGTCTGTCCATTTTGAACTCTTCTTGAAATAAAAGGTTAAAGCAAAAGTTAATTTTTTTTTTCTTCCTGTCTACCTCAACTACTCATATTTACTTAATAGTCATTAAGTACTCATTAAGATCAACTGCTTATATTTACTTAAACTTCTAAGTGCAGTGTATCAGTCTGGAATGCTACACATTATTTGGACAAAGCTAGATAAAAACTGAGGTAGTATCTCTCAGCTGTTCCCACAGCAAGGGGTTCCTTTCTTTGTGAACTTTGTCTACAATGTACAACACTTCATTGTTCACTACAGCCAGTAAAGTGTTTGACTTGGGATTTTCTTGAGCACAGCCTAAATTGACAAACAGGACCTTTTAAGACACCATAATTTCTTGTACCCTTCTGCTTACCTGGCCCATTCAAATTTATTATTTTTACATTAGATATTCTATTACTTTCTCTGAGAAAGTCATCCCATGTCACCAAGTAACACACATTTTCATGTTCAGTAATGTAGCTCTCATTTTGAGGTACCATCAGCCCAAAATACACTTTCACAAGTTCATGTGAGAAAACCTTTTAAAAACTATTTCTTTTCAAAATCTTGAGGGAGTAAATTAGATCTCTACTTTAAAAATCAATTCCTACATTACCTAATCTTCATAATGTAAGCACAGTTACACTGACATTTCAGTATTTTTGTTAGTGGAAAACATGTAAAACATCTAAATTTGTATAGCAAAGACCTGGCCCTAAGGAAGAATGTTAATTTCTAATTTGCTGGCTATCTTCAATGACTGATTCCTGTTGTGGGTATTCTCTTCTATAAAAAAGACTGTAATGTGTGACTTACCCCCATATGAAATCTTGTAGTAGGCATAAGCTGTTAATGCTACACCAACCCATATTTCTTGATACACAGTAGAAAAGTAGAACTTCATGGGTCTCAATGCCTTTGGAATCATGTTCTGCACCATCTGAAATTTTAAGAAATGTCATTTTAACTTTTGTAGCTGTATTCTTACTTGGATTTTTAACATACATACATACAGACACACACACACAAATATTCTATTTTTATGTATACACACACACATACTCCTGATGCATATCAGTATCAGCAGCAGTTTACAAGTTAAAAAACAAAATCCCCAAGCATAAAAAAGAACTTATTCCAAAGCAAAGAAATAAAAATTCAGAGTTAAGGTTACAATTCATGGGCTAACACAAAAAAAAATAATTAAAATTACAGTTGATGAAAGGGTTCAAAGATGAGTCAACAGAACATTTACAGAGCAGCAATGGCTAGACTTCTCTCTGCCTATCAGTGACAGCTTTTTCCTAATGCTTCCAGATTCCCTCAGGAGGAAATCTCATTCCAGACAAGCCAGAGAGGCTCCTTCCTTGCCCTACCAATTTAGTTTCTCTCTCTCACAACTGTCTATTCCAGCATGGTAATTTCTACTCAAAATAGCAACATAAATGATGTTAAGCTAATGAATTCATGCTTTATCATGACTATTTGACTCTCAAAATATGCCCCAAGAGCAAGAAGCCTGTCGGTGCTAGTGTTTTTTTTCCTTTCCTTGCAGCTTTGTAAGACAAAGAGAAAATTGTAGGAGGTTTTAAAATAAAGCTTATCCTAACTCACATAAATGTTAGTTCACATTTGCACCACACTGCACTGAGATGTCCCATGTTCTACTGTCTTACACACAGCAGTTCACCCAATAGTCACTATTCACACTTATCACGACCCAATAAAGTCAGCTATACACACATGTAGACAGCATATGGTAAACCAGAGACCCAGGAAAGAAAAACAGAATTTAACTTCTCTGAGGTAATGCTCACTTTATCTGCTCATTTATCATTACTAAATGTAAATCATCTTTTGGCAAGCCTCTAAGAGGAGAGGGTACAAGGGCAGCCAGTGTCAAAATAATTGGAAAAATATAGGTGTTTTTTAAAGAATGAAAGCAACTTTGAGGCAATTCGTATATACTTAAAGAAAAACCCACATTTGCATTTGTTTATGTACAGTCATTTCAATCATTTATTTTTGTAGCAAAAGTTTCTGAAACACCTTTGTGCTTTCAGCAACACTATTTACAACACATTGCATTAAGGACCCTGCTCACCTAAATTTCCAGTGTTTGTAGTTTGAGATGAACAGTGGACCACAGTCACAGAATATCAAGACATACTAACAAACAAGAAAACTGAACAGAACAGGAGGGAAAGATTTCCCAACCACTACAAAACAGGGAATAAGCAGTGCTGTTTCCACTTAACACCGCGCTAAAGCCCGCCAGAGACCTTTCCCCAGGGCCTGCGCGGACGCGATATCGTCCTCAGCATTTTTTTTCTGAAATCTACCCGGAACAACGCTGTATTTGCTGTATTTGCTGTCTGCTTGACCTCCCCGCCA